ATGTGACCGAGGGGAGGAGGGGAAGGGGAGGGGGCTGGGAGGAGGTCTCTCCGAACACACTTGTTAGACACATCTGGCAAAAAGAAAATGTATAGTGCAAAAATAAATTTCTTCAAGCAATTGTTAAGAGGATAACAGAGACTGGAAAGCAAAGTGGTGGTGGCTGGGGAGTTGTGTGGCGGGAATGGAGAGAGGGTGATGAGAGAGGAAGGGGGACAACGTGATGAGAGAGGAAGGGTTTTGGTGGGGGTGGGGATTTACAGAAAGGAAGGGGAGGCTGCAAAAACATTAAACATTTATTTTTGCCTCTGTGTTAGCAAGGAGATCTTGGCCATAATAGGTGTATTTTTCCTCCCTGGAATGAAGCAGAAGTGAAAGATAAGGAAATTAAACCAAGTCTGGGTTTAGATAGGAAATGCATGCTGGAAAAGAAAACTAAAATAAAAAGGTTGAGAACCAGCCAATGAGCCCCAAAGCCTTTCAGGGCCTAGATTTGCAGAAATCATTCTGCCTCCAGTCCCAAGGCCTAGGATTAAAATGTCCCCTCTCCCCACCCTCCGCCCCTCCCCTCCATGTGGAGCTCCCAGTGTGGTTTCAATATACTGGCATTATAAGCATCCATCCCCCCCAAAAGATATTAGGCACTGGTGGCTACTCCTCTTAAACGTCAGTAGCCTGTTTTCCTTCTGCGAAGGTACAATAGGTACATCTGCCCACGTGTCTAGGCGTGGGCACACATACCACCCTCATTATTCTGACGTGGGGTCCATTTTATGGCAGTAGACAGAAGCTGGAGTCAAAGCAATTTACGATTCCAAAGCTTACAGTTGAAAAAAATTGTATAAACAGTCCCCAACAAAGAACGTATCACCCTTCCCTCGTGACCGCTGAGAGGGAGCCCTGTTTGAAAAGAGTATCTGGTTTGGGATAATTAGTGAAGTGACGGACGGCCTAGGATTTCGCTCTGCCATTTTTGATACCTGTTTCCCGAGGACTTATAAACGCAAATGCAAAACACCTGAAGAATACAGTACTCTATTGGAAGGGCGCGCAGAAGAAAGTGAATTGCAGCTTTATTTTTCCCCCTTTTCCAGGATCTATGAGGAACCAGCCAAGGGGATTTAAGAGTGTTAAAAGCAAGAGAAAACCCTGAAGCCTCAGGCCATTAGTCACGGGATCTCACACTGACCAGCAGTTTTTGTTTCCTTGGACACATTTTTGTTGTTCCATCCCACATATTCCCAAAGATCCTCACTGAGGAAAGTAGGCCGTCAAAGAGGCATCGATGTATGCTCAGGCCAGCCCCACTCGTTTCCAAACTGAGATCGCACCATGTTTACCGAAATGCAACCCAGACCTGGAATTCGAACTCTCAACTCCTGCCCCCACCCCACGCTTGGCAGGTGGCCACCTCCAGAAGAGGCCAGGGAAAGTTTCCACAAGTACATTTCAAACAGGTTCTACTTAGTGAATTTTCACTTTGGCAAAGATCCGGGTGCAAAATTACGGCCAGAAATGCTGGCCCTCGTAAGATCTTTGAAAAAGAAAGAAACAATGAACCTGATTTTTGCAGTTAAATACGTTGCATCTCTCTGACTTTCCCTACCTTCTTCCTTATCCTAAAACCAACTCATGCAAAAGAGAAGACAAAAGCACTTCGCACTGGATTTTTTATCTTACGGAGCGACTTCCATCGAGGAAATCATTTTGAACCAATGAAACCGATCACTAGATGTTGCCGTTCTTGCCGGTGGAGTTCATTTCTTTTGACTTTGCCATCGAATTCAGGCACGGGGGGGCTATGGGCGGAATATTCTGAATGCACTAGGTGAGCTGCCCTGAAAGTCCCATTTAGTTCCCCTTTGATGCAAATAGACATGGCTACCCTGGAAGCTTATCCCCAACTCAAGTCCTTAAAAAATCTTCTCTGGCTTCTAGATTCAAAGAAGATTTTTTTAAAAATAGGAATCAGTTCTGCTAATCGTGCGTGAGGTTGGCTGTCTTTTTTACCCTGTTATAATCAGGCAATCTAAGATGTAAAAAGGGCACAAGAGGTGCAGGAGGGGAGGAGATGGGGGGTTTGAAGGGCTTTGCAAGGGAAAGCACATGGAGAGGAGAAGGAGATGGGCAGCATGAAGTTCATTTTGGGGTTTCCGATATTTTTATAAAATGCAGCTTTGTCATGGAATCTGAACATTTCTTTTTCTGGACACAGTACTCATCACCACCAGGCTTTAAGCTGGGCCAATTAACCATCAGTGGGGCAGGAGGCCAGTAGCTAGGAGAAGCATTATAATTTCATGTTTCCACATCTTTGACTTACAGCCATGTGGTAGGAGAAAGAAGCACAACTTGAAATAAAGAAAATTGTCAATGGCTTAGAAACACGCTTTCTCTATACATCAAACTCGGAACCCTGGACAAGATGTGCTTGAGGGGACAACCACAAGAAACACCATGCCAGGTTTTTCCTTCCAAATTTGGGGTCCCGGGGAATGTCAGGAGGTAAATGAGAAAGCAATGGTTTAATGTGTCTCAAATGTCCAGTAAAGCACTGTTTTAAATAACCTGTCCTCCTGGGAGCCAAGTATCTTCAGACGGTGATTTCTTGGAGAGCCTGTTCACTCTCCGCAGACTCTTACCAACCATCTCTGCCATTTCAGAGATGATGGACATGTTCTCACAAATCCACTTCCAAAATGACTGGTGCTACCCTAGCTTTTAGGGATAGGTTATCGTTCGCAGGTGTCACTCGGGCTAGAGAAGAACAGTTTCAAAGCCATACACTTAGCACCCACCAAATTTCAGGCCAATTCTCACAGTCCACAAATGACTCGGAAGCAAGCAAGCCCCACCATTGTGGTTCAGCGCACCCTGCTCTGAGAAAGGTCAGGAACCCAGTACAAAGGACCTCACTGATACAAAAGAGAAGGAATCACTGAACATTTCAGACACTAATGAGGAGCAAAGGGCCTTTGTTCCGCCACATTCAAATGAGAACTTTTCAAGACCACAGATGACAACAGGGAGCAAACAAGCAATGATTACTCTTTTGCATTCTTTTTTTTTTAACTTTCTTTTTAATAGAGCCTTGCATTGGTCAGTTCAAAAATTAAATTCAGTATTATAAACCCTTAATAATAGCATTTCGAGAGGCAAGAGCAGCTCCAGCTGGGGAGAGAACATTTGTAAATGGTGGCAGCCACGGCTATAATGCCATCACGGGTATGTGCGTGCATTCATGCTGGAGGCTGCTATAGAAAGGGAAATCAACGAACCAACAAAATCTGGGGTGTCTAAAGTTTCATCTAGTGCACTGACTGGAGGCGCTACAGTTGAATACAGCTGAGGTTTAAGGTCCCTCACACATCCTTCACCCAGAAAGGATGCACCACACATTCAAATATAATCCCATGATACGCCCTGATGGACTGGCCCCGAAATGCACTCAAATGCAGTAGAGAACTATGAGATTGTCAGCAAGCAGTGCTCCAGAAAATGTTTCTAAGTCATGTCTAGTTTTAAATCTTTGGAATAAAACTGATTTTTTTTTTTTAAATACCCTCCAACTAACATATACAGAATTGCCTCCGGCAAATGGGCAGATTTTTAGGTGTGTGTGTTTTAGGGTGGTTTTTCTTTTTGTTTTTGTTTGCTGTTGTTGTTGCTGTTGTTGGTTTTTGTTCTTGTTGTTGCTGTTGTTGTTGTTGTTGTTGTTGCTGTTGTTTTGGTTTTTGGTCTACCTTGCAAAAGGGGAAAAGAGAAAGAAAACTTTTAAGGGCCAGACCTCAGAATGCCCAGGTGTCCCATCGGTAAGCTACCACATTTGTGATCAGGAGGCTCCTTTACCCTTTGATGGGCACTTTTCAACATTTCAGGGAAATCAAAGGTTGCAGAAAGCTGAGAAACCAAATGCCAAGGATCTTGAAGGTTGCTGTCATACATGTATTTGTGTTTCTTATATTATTATTTCCTTTTAAAGACTTCAGTTTTGCATCCCAAATAGGTATGGGGCGGCATTTTAACAGTCAATGAGTCAAACAGTCAAAGGTGGGCAGAAGGGGAGCCAGCTGGTATGAAGGAGCAGCAACCATGTGCGGACCAAATGCCATTTTTGTTTTTTAGACGTGTCTTGAAGGGATGGTCCCAGAATATACAAAATATACAATCTGTCCTAATAACCACCCCGCTTGCTTGCATAGGCCATTGAATGGTCCTAAAGGCAGTCTTTGGAGTTGAGGCCAGTGCCAGCTAGCTAAGAATGCGGGTAGATAAGAGACCGATAGTGGATGTGTGTGGGATGAAAAGTGAGGAATGTGAACCCCCTTGGAGTCAGCTTGCAGAGTAAATGTGAGGCCTCTTGATCCCGGGTGCTCTAGGTCACAAGTCATGGTGGGTCTAGCCAAAAAGATTTAGAAACGCGTCTCTCCTTTTAGACAGACCGTGAGAGAAACTTCTCAACCCTTTCCTTAAATGTCCACCCTTCATTCCCACAATGGCATTTTGAATTGTGTGTTTTAACAAGTGGGGGAGTATGAGCTCAGTGGATATGAGAGAGGAAGATAGGATGATGTTTTCTGAAGCCACTAGACTCGGGAGGCATCCTCAGTTCTCCCCACTCCTGGAAAGAGTGATATTTTTGGCTTTTTGTCAGGTCATAACCCAGAGTTAGGTTAAATATGCAGCTGCCCTTTGAGACTAGCGACATCTATGCTGAAACTGGCTACAGGGTAGCAATGACACACAGCACGGGGTTGATCACTATGCGCTGAGGTCATGATGCCTCAAGGGGGATGAGAGAACTGTGATGTCCCATCTGATTGGCTGCTTCGAGAGCTGGACATCCAGGTGCCGAGCGAGTCCTGGAGAGGTTTATTTAGTCCATGGAGAAAAGATAAAACATTTAAGCTTCCAAATAAGCTTTTCAAGTTTTCATTAGCAAAAACAGAGAGATTAAAAAGAAAAAATCTAGCACTGGCAATAAGGTGAGGCTCAAGGGATATACTGTGATTTATCATCAAGGACTTTATTCTCTTGGCCACTTTGCAGTCATGCTAGAAGTTTCCAGAATCCCTAGTGCATATGGTGTGCAAGAGTCAAAAAGTAAGAAAAGAAAACTCCTCCCTTGAGAGTGAAGTCTAGAGAAATGCAGGCCAGAAAGGTGTAAGGTGTTATTCCAGAGTCTGCCGCCGCTAAGGCCGTTGGTATCGACTCGAAAGATCTCAATAGTACTAAGAAGAACCAAAACCGATCAACAGTTCTGTGAGGAAGTCGGACGCACGGAATAGTAGGACTTTTCACACACAAAGGACAAATAAACCAAGAGTTAATTTTGGCTACCAAACTGCAATTTGGTTTTCTAGGTCATTTTCCCCCAACTATTTAAAAAGAAACATTAGTGCTACACATATGCAACTTTACGACGTTGTATTCTCCTATCAAGTTGCACTGAGAAGCAAGTTAAATAAGCCCCTCTTACTGCCGTCCACCTGCAGAGACGTCACATCCATTTTCTTTGATTTCCATTGGCAACAGCGGGAAATAATTCCAATAGTGCTGAAGTAAGCAGCCAGTCTGCCTTGCTGAGTTCACCTGGTTTCCTTCTTCTTCGTCTTCTACCATCTGGCAAGGGCAAGGCATAAAGAATAGACGTATATATTTTAAATATAGCTGAGTGCATGACAGTGTGTGTGTGTGGGTCTATGTGAGTGCGTGTGTGTGTGTCTGTGTGTGTCTGTGTGTGCGCGTGTGTGTGTGTGTGTACACAGAGGTTTATGAGTGAGAACTTTCTTCTGCGAGGTAATGGAACCCCGCCTGAAGTCCAGCCCCCTGCCTCACGGCATTTCCTTCAGACAACGGCCGACGCCATGACAACTCTGGCCTTTAGGGGTTTTAGATATGTCTCTTCATATGGAGGGCAAGATGGTCAGACCTGGAAAAACACCTAGGAAATATAAACAACAACAAGGATATAAGAGGGGTCCAGGCAACAAACTCAACTTCCAGCACCCCTTAAAAAATGATTAACCCTACCTCAAAAAGTGGCAGTACATATGTACTGAGAAACAAGGCACTGTGTGGGGAAGGTAAGCTCAGGGTCAGACTGCTTGGGTTCTAACCCCAGCTCTTCCAACCCTTGTGTGACTCTGAGCATGTTAAACTCTCTGTGCCTTCATTTCTCCTCGGTAAAATGGGGGTAATCACAGCACTCACCTCATAGACTGGTTTTGAGGATTAATGAGATGATCTACATAAAGTGCTTAGAATATTGCCTGGCACATAGGAAGGAAGATGTCTGTGAACGTTAACTATTATCATAGTTGTCATTATTAAAGAAGAAACTAATAGGAAGGTGCTTTGGAAACACAGGACGTGCCCGTATACCAGAAGTACGGCAGAAAATGATTAGCTCATATCATCCAACGGTGAAACTCTAACATTTCAACACCCAGAGTTGAGTCGATGAAGACCCAGAAATGCTGCCTGTGATACCTACAAGGTCTCTATTATACCAAGTCAAGAAAAAGAATGGAGAAGTGAGCTCATGCTTATTGAGAATGAGATAACATGCAGGCATGTGCTAGGCATGTCCCCAGTATGACCCAGTACCATTCTGGGCAACCTTCCATGCTGTGTTCACACCTCGTGTGTGTGTGTTGGGGGGGGGTAAGGAAACTGAGGCGAGGGTCATGCAGCTAGTTAGTGGCAGATTTGGGATTAAAACTCAGGCAGATCTGCAAGGCCCCTCTTTCGAATGCCCACCCTTTCGAACGTCCAGTTTTCTTGGTGCCTGAGGGCCACCACTGAGTGCCTTCCTCAGCCTCAGAGCATAGGCAGTGGTCATCTTCACTCCTCCCCCTTTCCTTTGGCACCAGCAACTTGATCTTCTCTTGGGCAGCTGTGCTTCTGCGCTCCCAGTTGTATGGGGCTGACTGACCCTCCTCCTAAGGCTAAAGCTATGGCTGTGGTGGTCCACTAAGTGACAGTCGCATGACCCATCAAGGTTCATGAGAGCCAGTCCTGAACACTTGCTGAAACTACTCAAAGAGAGAAGCTCTTTTACCACTGGGGCTACTGTGCTATTAAGACTGAAGCTGGAGCTGCTGGTATCCATACGGCCATGTGGGAAAGAGCCTCCTTGAGAACAAAGTCAAAGGAGAAAAATGGGCAGGAGGACAGAAAGAGAGAGAAAGAGGCCTGATGACAACATCTGAGACCCTGGATCCAGCCAAACCTAAAGACCAATCTAATTTTGGTCTCCTTAGTCAGTTGAGCTAATAAACACCCTTCGAAGCTAACATCAGCCTGAGTCGGGTTTCTGTATCATATAACTAATAGAGTGGGCATCTCCATATCTCCGCAGCCTACAATCTAAGGCTCTGGCTAGAATCCCAGTAAAGTCAGCACACAAGACAGCATAGCTCTGAGTGTGTGCTCTCCCTCTGGATTCTTCTCTTGAAACTGGCCATCTCTTACCTGTGAGGATATTCCCAGGCTCTCCCGAGGCCCGAGCCATGCTCATAGTCTAAGATTCTTGTTAGGATGTTAGCAAGCTGCCCTGTTTCAGGTTAGCAAGACTTCCTGTTCCATGCAGGATTTCCCTGTGTTTGTTCATTCTTAAAACAAACAAACAAAAAACCCACCCTATCTCCTGACCCCAACATTCTCCACCCACTCTGTTTGTGTTGATTTTTGAAAGAGGCACATATGCAGGATAGGACCTCATGGAAGTGAAGCAAAACAGAACCAAGGCAAATGGGAAACACATAAGAATGGGAAGGTACAGTAGAAAATAAAATAATCCAATAACATACTGAATAACAATAATTCTTTTTAAAAAAATTTTTTAAAGATTTTATTTATTGATTTGACAGAGAGAGGGAGAGAGCACAAGCAGGGGGAGCAGGAGAAGGAGAGGGAGAAGCAGGCTCCCCGCTGAGCAAGAAGCCCGACGTGGGGACTCCATCCCAGGACCCTGGGATCATGACCTGAGCCGAAGGCAGACACTTAACTGATTGAGCCACCCAGGTGCCCCGAATAATAATAATTCTAATTACACCCACTTATTTTAGGCCCTAATTTAATATGAGCAAGATATTTGGATAATCCCTCAGAGTGCCATCTAAAGAGGATTTAATTTACCACAAAACAGTGGTGATGTCACTGGTATACAGAACAGCAATACAGCCTATAGGGAATTCAGCAGTTAACTCCCATGACCTTGTCCTGTCCTGAGGGCACACTCAGTATTGCCCACTGCCTATTCTCTTTCTTCCCTCCCTCCCTCCCTGCCTCCTTTCTGCCTTCCCTCCTTCCTTCCTTCATCCCAACAGGCTAGAGAGAGAAGATCTAAGTTGGGAAGTTCTTTTTGTAGCCATTTCCTTTTTAAAGTTAACATCCTTAACAAGAACTCTGTAAAGAAGATCCCATTCTTATCCCTTCTACCAGCTGATATAGTCATTAAAAAGAGACAAAGCCAAAATCTGAACCCAAGTAGTGTGACCCTGGAGCCCATGTTCTAGGCACACCTGCTCTTTAGACTGAGAAGAAGGGAGAGCTGAACTGTCAATTTCAGGAGTTTGTAGCACCTAGAAAAAGGGGTTTCCCCCCAACCAAATGTCTGCACCTAATTCCTGGAAACTGTAAATATGTTAGGTTATGTGGCAAAGGAGGATTAGGGCCGTGGATGAAATTAACCTGCTAATCAGGAGATTATTCTGGATTATCTGGGTCGGGCCAATGTTATTTAGATTATCTTCAAAAGCGGAAGACGGAATTAAAAGAGAACACAGCAGCATTGGAAGGACTCAACAGCTTGGATGACGGAGGGATGGGGCGAGCAGGCAAGAAACGTGGGCCACCTCTGGAAGTGGGAAAAGACAAAGAAACGGGTTTTTCCCTAGAGCTTCTAGGGAAAAAACACAGCCCTGCCGATTCCTTAATTGTAGCCCAGTGGATCTTCTAACCTACAGAAGGTTACCTATAAGAAGTCACCTACAAGATAAAACATTTGTAACGTTAAATAGAGATGATACTAAATTTGTAGCAATTGGTAATGGTAGCAACTAGAAAATGAATCCAGAAGTCAGTCTGGTCAGGCCTGAGTAGTGAGCACCTGTGAGAAAGCAACGAAGCAGGCACCAGGAAGCCTGCCTGTCTGAGGGAGGAACAGAGGGATTGGAGACAGGAGCGGGGGAGGACAGGTCTTGGCCTGGGGACAACACCCCTTCCCTTTCCTTTCTATATCCTGGAAACCTAAGGGAAAATAGCATTCTTGATACAGAATTTCATCTGCAGACACCATTCAGTGATGTATGAGTTCCAAATTTTTATTCTGCCTTTCCCAACTGCCTACTGTGTGCTGGGTATCTAGCAATATATGTACAAGCATCTGTATTTATTCTTCGAGATCTTGCAGGGAAAAAGAAAAGTGAAAAAAAAAGCCCAAACCAAGTCTTTAACATGGTATGAAATCTAACTGCACTCCTGAATTGAAACAGCATTGTTATTTCTTCAAATTCTCGGAAGTATACGCTGCTTAGAATTTAGACTAGGTCCCTCACCATTGGGGTTTTATTTAAATTCAATACACCAGCAAGATACTTAGTCATGATTAATTTATATTTATTAATTTACACTTACTGAGCTCCACATAGGAATAGTAAAAGGTAATAGATAAACTCACCATCTAGAAATGTGGAATCAAATAATTCTAAGGGTAATATACCCCCAGAGAGTATTTATGACTATACAGTAGTCAGAAGACCTTAAAGAAGAATGTCCTTAATGATTGAAATTTGTTCATTACAGAGAACTAGTCAAACCACTGTTGTCATTTCCCTTGGCTTCTGAAAAAGGCACAGTTAAGTCATGTGGGCACTAAGCCAACAGCAACGCTCCAGGGCACCAAAGGGGCTAGATATGGGTTGGTATTTGTTACCACCTATAAATGGGTTGACTCAAAGATCCAAATGTGTCCTCTCAACTGCCCAAGATCTTGAAGGTACTACCCTGACAGCAGTCTCCCTGAATGACAACTGCGTTGAGTTGGCAGAACAATGGCCCATGTAGCACCGCCCTGTTTACCACCACCAGCAGCCCCATGCTGTATGGGCTGAGAAACAAGCCTCACCCTTCTAGCAGCTGTGGTCCGGCCATGGGCTATACGGTTCAGTCTGACAGCGAGGAAGTGGCAGAGCCTCACTGCTTTCTCCCCCAACCCAAACCTGAAGCCTGAGGTCACAAAACCCAATGTCTTCAGGGGCCTGGCAGATAAAGTAAATGAGTGCAATAGGTCAAGGACTATCAGATTCTACTTTTGATAAGGCTTGGATATGAAGAAATACTGCTCTTTTGTAAGAGGACAAGGGTGATGGTACACGGCAATGGAAGGTCTGGCTTCATGTTGGGGAGACTGCAGGGAGCGGAGGGAACAGTGAGAAATTAGTGATCACATGGCCATCACAAATGGGGAGTGATTACTATTTAGCTTCAGAAAATTATGGCCACATGGGAATGTGAGCCCAGTGTTACCAGATCTTCTGATTTTTCCAGACAAAGCCAGAGATGCAGACATTTTTGTGGCATCTAGTAATTTTAAATGTAAGTAAAGCAAATAAACAAAGAAAAACTCATTTATTTTTTTTCAATCTACCCAACAGGCAAAATAAAAGTATAAATTAGACCTGGTACATGCTTTAAAGACAGGAAGCCCCAAAGCCAGCTTAGCCTCTAGAGTGGTCTGATTTCTCAAATTCTAAGAAGGAAGAGGGAGGTTTCTTACACTTATACACACTGTGTTACCTACAGGATTCAGAGTCCTGCTAAGGGCTACAGATGCCCTCTTTTCGGATGGTAAAAGTCCTCTAAGGAATGCCAGCTCCCAGTCACGCCAGGCTTTCCTTTCATCTGCTTTGGGACCACTCCAGTTCCCCACGCCGCCTCCCGGACCTGCTCTATTCTTAGCACAGTCACTGCAATTGAAATGTAAGGTGCTGCCAGTCGTGAGACACTAATGAGAATCCAACCCCTTATTTCTGACATTGCGGAAAATGCCCTGACTCTTGGCCAATGTCACAGGACGTTGACCCAGATCTCCCCCAAATCACAATCTCCCCCAAATACCTTCTCAAAGAATTTGTACCATCTGCTCAGCAAATTTCTAGCTCCGGGAACTGTAGATTTTGGTGAAGAAAAATAAAACAAAAGGCTAACCAAATTACCCGTCTCTGACACCTCCTTCCCTGAAATACCCAGTTGGCTTGAAATATTTCTCCACATAAATCATACAAATGGTCAGATTTAATCCTAGTAAACTGCTGGACAGTTGTAAATTCCTCAATAGGTCAGTTGATCTGCAGAGAGGAATACTAGCTCTGGCAATTTCCCAGTAAGAATTCTTTGTCCACTTCTAAAGGATGAATGTAATCTATAACGCACAATCTCCACGTAGTAGCCTTATCACCCTTCAGGGATGGGCGACTTCTGTGTATGCCTACTACCACCATACTTTCACAACTCACAGGGGATTCCTCTTCATCCCAGTTGATATAATGCTCTTCCTCAAAGGACTGGGGGCAAAGAGTCACCCTCTATGCAGCTTCTTTATTAGTGGCCAGGGCTAAAGAGAAATGAACTTGAGATGGCAGTTGAGGAAAGATGTCAAATAAGGAGAAACATTACCCAAATATACTCCTGTAGCAAAACAGCCACTGATTCACATCAATTCAGGGGGCCTTGCATGTAATGGGATAGAAATAAAAAAGCAGGTTGTGTTCTTGGGTAGCAGAGGAGAGAGCTCCAAGGGAATGAGAGACAATAGCTTCGCAGTGTGGACTTCCTCAGCTCTGGGGTGGGAGGTTATCTCTGGACTCCAGGAGGCATGGGGGCTTTATTTAGTTCTTAAAGAATGAAGATAAGAGGAAAATAGCCTCTTCAGGAAGAAGGGGAAAAAAGGAGGAAAAACATGAATGCTCCTTTATAAGCATTTTAAGGGAGCACCAAGCCAGCTGGCCACCCATGAGATTTGGCCACTACTGCTCTGTTCTCCAAACACATACACACACACACACACACACACACACACACACACACACACACACT